ATGTGACAAAATAAAACCACAACTAAGAAACCTACCTGATAACCTACAGATTCTTCCAAATTTATGAACTAATGATTGTCCTCAACTAATGACACTGAATAATTTCTTAGTTGAGAATAATTCTTGCAACCAACTGAAATTAAGTCTCTGCCATCAGATCTTTTCTTACAAAATTAAAAGAGCTGCAAGTCCCAAAGGGTAACATGCAAATACATCTGCCCTGTTCTTGATATCAGTGTTACAAATTGGCATCTTTAAATAAACATTTCACAACTATCCTAACACCATCCCATTCCCTACTCCCAAGCCTAAGAAACTGTGCTGGCTTGGGTTATAATTATAATAAGTGAAAAAATAATATTAAAGAGTTTAAAGCCATGCTTTTCCTGGATCTCATACAAATCTACCCTAGAATATACTGAAGGATAGCCCTGGTAGTTCATAGTATAATACAGACTGGCATCTTACACTTTCTTAACCTTTGGGTTGTTTTATCTATCATTATCACTTTTCAGATATTTGGCTTCAAGAAAAAAAGTTTTGAGTTTTGCCACAATACTTAAGATTTCACTAAAAATTATTCCAGGTGAAAGAAGAATTATACATTTCTTTTCAAGTTTCCAAATAATATACAGTTCAATATGACAGAATGTGGAAAGCAGATATTTAATCAGGCATAACTGTTAATTATTAGATCAGTTTTATTTATAGTCTAAAAGACAGAACACTTCTCAAACCCTAAAATACGAAAAACTGTGGAAATTTGTTATACAGTCTACTCCAGACTGAAAGACTAAAACAGTTTCAAAACTATTAACATTATTATTATATACCAGATAGGATCATCTCTCGACTTAACAGTATTACCTTTCCCATCCTCTATCCTAAAGGCCAACCGAAGTTGAGATGGTAAAACCCTTAGCTGCTCTGCTTCTGGCCTTCTCTCAGTTCCCAGAACACGTCAAAGGCCCTAAACTTAGGACCTGGGTGGTTTGCACTGACTGTTGCCTCTGCTTAAAATAGGCTCAAAAAGCCATTCCTTCATTGTTCTCATTTAAAGTTGGTTCCCACTGTTTCCTGGTATATCTCTAGAATCTAGCAGTGCTCAATACAGATTTACTGAATTAATGAATCTTGCTACCATAGAAGTGGTCGGTGGTAAAAAATGAAGTCTATGAATATATGAGAGCAAAATCCCATGCCAGGACTTATTGTATATAAGGTTACTGAATTTGAGCAACGATCCATAAAGATTCAGCCTAGGCTAGTTGATCATATGGTTATTGGCTGTTGGGAGGTTGATTATAATCATGTAATCTCTGCTTGGGCTAAGGTTAATATATTCTTTCTTCTTCTTCTATTTAAAAACACAACACATAATACACTTTCTTCCCTAAAGTCTCATATTACCAATTATTATATCATTTTTGCTTTCCATGTTTCAAAAACAAAACAAAAATTCAGCAGCAAAAGAAGAGAAAACGTGGTTAGAGAGCTGGCACTGAAATCTCACTGATATAAATTACAGAAAAAAATTAGTTGAAACCAACTTTAGTTTTGTTTTAATGAAATAACATACCTGGCATCAAGCTGTAATCGAGTCTTTACAAGCCAAATGGGATTGGTTGCTGTGATTGCGGTAAAACCTAAACAAACATGTTTAAAATGAACTCTGGTAAAAATGAATACACTATTAACTTTAAAATTTTAAAAATTATATAAATCTATATTAAAAAATGCATATAAATATTTAAAGTATTAACTGATGTATGCTTTACACTTTTATTTTACAAATCCATACAAACATGAACATTTGTATTTTATTTCCAATCTACATTCTCAAATTCTGATCATAATGACTAAAAGATAATCTTTTAAGAGCAAAATATGACTATATAAAAATATTTCTCCCAACATATGCAGAAAATCCTCTTGGGTACCCTCTATTCTCTAAACTAAATTCAGAAACCCAGTTCTACAAATATAAAAAAACTGTATTCTAGGGCTTTTTAGCATGCAAACTACAATCACTACTTGGGGTCCAATTAACATCACAAATCACTATGCTCGAAATGGATTCTATATGTCAGTATTTACTAATATTTCATCTTAAGCTGACTGTATAACAGAAAGGACTGTTATTTGGCCTTATGAATATATAAACATACATTTAATACTGTTAAAATAATGGTATCACAGAGGTAAGGTTTCTGTTAGGGTTAATAGGACAAATCTATTTTTCATCCTTACTTAAATACATACAAAAACTCAGAAGTTCAAAAAGTTACAAACTGGAACCCCCTCTCACTTTTACAGACACTGAAGAGAGAAACCTAAGGTAGAGGTAGGTCTTGTTTACTTTAAAACTAAAGTACTGTGTTATTATCAATGTCGAAGGATGGTCACCTAAGATGGCTCATTCCAGGTAGTAAATTAAGATCTCTGGAACCGTATGTTTCTAGGCTAGTGCATATCTTTTATTTCTATCTTCCTAGTGTTATAAAAAAATAGCAACATGAAATGCATTCTTGATGATCGAAATTTATGAAGCCCACTTCACCTATATGAAGAAGCAAGGTTTTAATATATTGCTTATGAAAGTTTAAAATCAGCTACCCAAACTTCATAGAACTACTTACATCAAGTTACATTTATTGAATTGGCCTTTAAATTCAATGAAAATTTACATGCAGGAATATCTAAGGATCTTAACTGTTTTAATACTAGCAGGTCAAGCACTTTATTTTTAGAAGGGTGGACTATAACCAGTACATTTAATATTAGTACTTTCAGAAACAAGAATGCTGTGGTACACATTAGGGATAACTTATTTTTTAAGTTAAATATAGTACAGAACCAATCATAAACCTTTTTTGGGTTTCAAAGCTAGTATGGGTATATAACAAATGCAAAATAATTTCTCTAAATTGTATACAAAGTGGAATTTAGTCTCACAGGTTCATTTCCTTTCTGTAATATCAGAAAATTAGCTAACCCAAATTTTCCTCCCTTAATTCATCGCTTTAACACTGTAGAAATAGCCAGATGTTTCACAAAGGGATGCTCAAATTGAAATCTATCAAGCAAGATAAATGGAATAAAAGTTTGATTTCATAACTCCTTTAGTAATTTTGTAATGGTTATTATATTGTCTCCTTTTCACTTAAGTGTTTTTAAAACTACATATTCTAAATATCAGTTCTAAATAATAAAAATTTAAAGTGTTGGACAGGTTGTAAGTAACATTTTTAAATAAAGTTTTTTCATGCATGTATTCTTGGTAAAAGGAAAGAGAAAAATACAAAACTGTCAGATCAATTAAAAAATCAATTTAAAAGTCCAGAAAAGATTTTCTTGCATGGCCTAGTGAGGATAAAGTTATACAGCATTTTCCCCCTTCTCTTGAACCTCATTTTTCTAAGTAAAAAAGTCAAACTAAAGATGTTGAAATTTTATTTTAAGGCAAATATGAACCAGACACCAGTGTTCTGGTGATATCCTAATTTAAGGATTCTTTATTTTTAAACTTAAATATATGTGTTCGCTACATGTCTGTGCAGCAATATTAAGGGTTTATTAGTGAAAAGCCACTAAGTGCCAGAAACCAACAAAATATTCTGCATTATTCACAATGGTTTTTATTAATTATTCTGTGGAAATTTCAAGGAAAAAAATATTTGTTTTATTAAATTTAGAAAGGCTGAAATTGAGAATTCTTATATCAAACTTAAAAAAAACTGTGCCTAGAAAATCTCAATTTACTATACTTTATTTGAAAAGACAAACATCGAAGTATTTAAAAAATAATTATGTTCTACTTACAAAAATATAAACTTAGAACCCAGGCTTTATTTTAAGCCACAAAATTCCTCAGAGGCTGAAAAAAGCCCATATATGTCAACTTTAAAATATTACAATAAATATTTATAAATATTACTAGAAATAAAATTTTGAAATACCCATAAATCGTAATTTTAATTATTCACTGTACATATTAAACAATGACAAGAAGCAAACAACAGGTATTTCTCACTTAACTAAAATTCATTTCCAGACACTAATTAACCTACAGAACAGAACACATTAAAATTTAGGTGAGATAATGTTGTCATTTTATCCTTATATAACTATTACAGTTGTTTACTTTTGCTTACTATAGTTATTTTGGCTCAACTCTCCCCATAAGCTAACTCTTAATAAAGACACTAGCCTAAATGCCAGCAAACCATTAGGTTAAAAGAATCTAGGCAACATCCCACAGCTTTTAGATATTGATCTTTTACCAATTAAAACTGACCTTTGAATTTTACGCTATACTACATTCTCTTATCGAAGACACTCTGGTAACACTAGACATTATAAGGCTAATAAAATCTAGAAAAATATAATCTATTAATTCAAGAAATGAAACAAGTGGGAAGAAACAAAAATTTATCATTAACTTTGAATTATATATGGTAAGGCAATTTGAAGTTGACAAAAAGCCAAAGCTAAACATATTTCCTTATTTCTTCTAAGAAAAACATACACAAAAGTGCTGGGAATGGTGTCCCTGAAACTTAGAAATTTCTTGTAGTTTTTTATTTTGGTATTTAAATTTTGTGACATTTTGATAATATGCTAATTTATAGTAATATTCTGAGTACCCACATTAAAACGGACTTAGAGGTTTATGTAGGATCTACTTGCAGGTTAAGAATTAATGTTACTCCCTAGTCAGTTAAAGCAAAGTGGTAGTATATTGGCCACACTGTTAGTAATATGGTTAGTATTTTATTAGAAAGTTTTAAGACATACATTAGAAACTTTTAAAATACATTTTTTTAAGTTTTGCTTTATCTAAGACTCCATCTGATAATGTAAACCAATTAAAAAACATTAACAGAAATTCTGCTTATATTAAAGTTGCTGAAAATGTCTATTTCATTAAGTGAGTGATACCTGTAGTATTGCATTTTTAGTATTTTATTTTAATTAATTTCTTTAGTAAGAACAAAGCCCATATAACTTTCTAAGACAAATGTATTAAAACTACTAAAAAAAAACTAATTAAAACTAAAACAGCTAAGATCCCATATATTCTTTTCCTCCATTTATTTGGAAAGTAATGATAGGTATTAAGATCAATGTTTCTGCAAGATAGTAGAAAAAAGTCAAGTATCAACAGACAAGAGAATAGAAAGCATTCTATTAGACTTTTAAAATGTTACTCTAAGCAAAGAGCTATTTTGTTTTTAAAGTTGTAGGATGGTATGATACTAGTTACAACTATATCTTAAATACTGTTATCAAATTCTTTGCTGGTCAAAGTTATATGGCTAAGCTGAAGACCCCAGGCTGTTATTGTATAATGACTGTAAGGTTAACCCATTCTTCCTTCTAAAAGGAATATTATAAAAGAATTAGAATTAAAGTTTTATAAACTATTCAGATAATGCACACACAAATTCAGGAAATAAAAGTTCATTTCCCGCCTTCTATTAATTCCACAGCTATTATAAATTCCCAGGGGGTGTTTCTTATAACTAGAGTCTGCAAGAGATGCTCAGATCAGTACTCACGAGGTTTAAGTTAGTCCATATTTCTACAGGAAGTGACCTGCGGATGGGGAGCATGAGATGACACGATCTCACTCTTTTCTCGGGAGAAATGTACAGTAAATGCCTAAAATAGACACAGGCTTTTCTGTATCATAACAACAAGCAGTGACCTCATCAGAAACATGTGTACAAAATGAATCCCATTGGGAGGATTTGAGAATATTTACGGTGAGATCTAACTTTTTTGAAAATTTTAAGTTAAAAAAGAAAAAGGAATATCAGAACGGGCCATAAATTTTTTTAAAAAATGCACCGAGTACTGAAAATTCTGCCATCTGCAGCAGTTTCAGAGTCCAAATACTTACCTAAAAGACCACTTTTGCCTTAAAAAAAATGCTAACCTTGTCAAAGGGGACTCTAAGAAAATATTTGTAGAGGGAATTAAAATATCCCATTTTCCTACCATTATTATCTATCATGACTGGAGTTGAAATCACAATTTTCCATTCTTTAATCATCAGCCTACTTAGTAAACTTAAAAAAAAAAAACCAAAAAACAAACAAAAAAGCCCACCCAGAATATTCGAGGAACTCCATTTTGTAATTATTTATCATCTTTAAAAAAAAATAAAGTATATGTTGCTACAGTAGTACCTTTCACCTTTTGCACTATGGCCAGTAATATTGCACATCCATTTTTATGAAATATTTTGGGTTATTTTGTATTTAATTTCTTGTGTTCTACAAAACAAAAAACAGGAAGAATGTTTACACACAAACATAAAACATCTGGTTCAACCATTCATCTGGCTGAATGAGCTGCCATGGACAAACATGATAATAAAAAATATTTTATATACACAAGACAAAATTTCTATTTAATGAGTAAAAATTTAAACTTTAATAAACTTTAAGTCAAATAGAAAACTATATCTTGAAAAATAACAGTGAATGCTAAAAGCAAATAAAACCCACTAGGTATCTAGGAAATATTAACCGATTACATTATGGGTATTTAAAAAAACTTGAGCTGTAACTGTTTGAATATATAAGCCAATAAAAATTCATTCGAAGCCAATCAGAATTCAATTCCTTTAAATCTATAATCCTGTATATAAAAGTATGTACATTCCAGATAAAAACTTTTTAAAATTGAGAATTACTATAAAGAAAAAAATTATTTTTTGTACACACATCTGTGTTTAGGTATATACAGAGGGATATGCAAGTTCATTTAAACAAATACACACAATACCCTCAACAAAACAAATACTGTCAATTGCTAAGATTTACTTAGTCTGACAAATGTCGTACATAGGAAAGAAAAAAGGCAGGTAAAACATGAAGTGTCAACATCATTTAATTTGATTAAATAGCCTCACAATGGAAAAAAAATTCCAATGTCAAACTTAGAGGTTTACAAACTCTTATAGTAGTCCCTTGAAACACTACAACAAATGAAAATAAGACCCACTTTAAATAAACTATTCTTTTAATTAAAAAAACTTGGTATCTAAACACTCTAGTTCTTATGGATAAAATGCAAAATGCAACTGAACTGAGAGGTTACTTGAAATAAAAATTATGTACAAGGTATGTTATTAAATTCTTTGTGTAATGCTTGATGTGGCAAAATCTTGCAGGCAGTATCACTGTCTATTTTAGTTCAAGATACTAAGGTGACAAGGTTAGCATTTTTTTTTGAACAGCCATTTAAAAAAGGATTTTTCACATGACTGCCTCTAAGCTCTTTGCACCCCCAATTCGTATTTATAAGACCTCTAAATATGATCCTGAAGAAAACCAGAGCAATCTGGTCCAGATTATTTCAAGACTGAAGGAGGCAAAATTCTACCTTAATGAGTCTGCATGGGACCATTCAGTTTCACCAACCATGTAGTTATGTATGAAAACCACAATGCTAAAAGTTAATGCTCATAAACAGTTCAAGTAAGCTCTAAAAGCACAATTCGCAGAAAAAATGTAACTGCAAAGAAATGGAAGAAGTATTTTCAAATTACACAGTAAGTGTACAGTGCAATAATCTCTGAACAAGTATGAAACTATTAATTAACCAAAATTCAAGGAATTCAAGGTTGGGAAATAGTACCAATATAGAGATAAAAAAAAGATAAAGTTAATACTTGTACAACATAAAAAGTGCAAAATAAAAATCCCACTGAAATTCTTTGCAATTGATAAAATATAGTAATAAATTCTGATGAGATATTCTAATGAAAAAAATGTTCCAGTGGGAATTAAGATATTCTGAAACTCTAAATTTGCAATACTGAATATTTAACTATCCTCAAATGATTGCTCATCTACTTTCTTGATTTTAATTCTTTCAAAAAGGAAAGATTAATATTTTATAATTTTCTGGGGTTAAAAAACAAAACATAAACACTGGTAATCCAGAAATACATTCTTAAAGATCCTAATACAGTGATTATATAGTTTGAAATTAGCTACTAACTTTTACCTTATACCAACTGAAATGTTTGGAGGGAAAATCTGTAAAAAGTACATTAAAAAATAATTCTAGTTGTAACTAGATGATCTCTACGGCACTGAAGAACTCATTCTCAAAATCGAAATATATGTAGAACCACCTACTCATTCTAAGGATTAATAGAGGTTCACATAAATTATATAACTTGCCCAAGATCTCTCCACATCAGTAAATAAAAGTATTTCACTACCTTGATCTTTAAGGTTTTTACCTTCCAGCTTTAAAATTTTAATGAGTTAGTCAACAATTACTAAATATAAAAAGCCTTGAAATATTTTGTAAGGTAATATGCTAGACCTTTATTATATATGGCTATTAACCTTTCAAAAATTAGTATTTCAAACTTACACTTAGTTCGTTAAGTATATGGTTCAAATTGATCCACTTTATTTCTAAACAGAAAATGGTTAACAGTTTAAGGCACTCATTAAGCATATAACTGACAATTAATTGGTCAACAGTTGATGAAAGTAGATATAATTTGCTTTACGAAGTCACAGCATAATTTGGAAATGTGAGGTATGGTTACATATGGAATAAATCTCAGAAAACGGTAGACAATTTTGAGAACCAAAGGTCATGGCTTTGTCTAACATGCATAGCAACAAATGATTCCAGAAAGAGACTGGTCAAACCAATCTTCCAGTTTATCTTTAAGGCAGTGCAGAGAGAGCCCCAGGACTGGTAGTTTAAATTCAGAATTATATATACTCTCAATGATGATAAAATTATTCCTGGAAACATTTTATAGCGAGCATGTACAGATAGCCAGTGCCCAAATTTCGAGTGCTATCTAGTGTGATTTACGTGGAATGCCAAACGTATTTTTCAAAATATACACATTATAGTAACTGAATTATCAGTAATACATCACTCACAAAAATGTCAGCATTTGAGCACAGGACAAAATGAATACTTTACCAAGAACTGCCGGCACATTTCAGACAGAAGCCAAAACATGCAGCAAAAAGGGAAAAGGCACTAACAGAAATTGAGGAGAGAAGAGTAAATTACAGCTCCATAACTTATAGTGTAATTATGGTTGGATTCTTAAAACTATCAAAAGTGATCACTAAATATTCAATGAACTACACAAGACAATGTAAATATTATATTACCTGTAGGCTACCCAAAACTCCTAATTACAAAATGCCAACTGAAACAGATTTTACATATACCCCCTGATTAAATTTATGGTATACTAAAAAACATAATCAAAACCACATTTGTGGATGCTAAACAATGAAAAGCACATTGTCTTAACTTTACAATGTAAATTAATCATAACTCAATATTAAGTCTCTAGTTTTCAGAAAATTTTGTTTTTTAATATCACATATTCATACCTGCCATTGCAGCTGAAATCATGTGTACCTGGGTAGAATCAGGATCAAATACACCATTCAACGTTTCCTTGCAGTTTGAATAAGCAGCAAAGTATATTGCTCTACAATAAAGATTTAAACTTTAGTAATAAGCATGTTGCTTAATTCATAAGATTTAAATGACATGTAAATTGATCTTTATAATTTTAGAGCAGAGAAATCTAAAAATATTGTCTTAGCTACATTCTCATGTAACATCAGGTTAATTTACACTTTTCCCATGAAGGCCCTGTAGTATTTTTTATATCAACTCATTAAGAAAAAGACAAACTCAAACGTAAAGCATCCTGAGACACCCCTTTCCCCCATCCCAATACTTTGACAGCAACTAACTATAACAAAAAGTATTTGTATAAAATTTTGAAAACATGTTAGTAAAGCTGGAAGGCTTACGTAATGATAAGACTAAATTAAATACACTTAAAGAAATATGGTATAAGCACTTCCAAATACATATTTGTTTTTGGTGAGAGAAAGTCAGAACTGACCCAACTGATCAAAGTATATGTTAAACAATTCTGAGAGACTGTGGTATATTCTAATTTATACTATACACAGAATAGTTCATAGTATCATTAAACAAACAAAACAATTCCAAAAGAAATCAGCCCCATCAGGTCAGGTGATATTTTCCAATATCTGTAAACATTCCATTCCATTTGTAAATATTTCCCGTTAATTTACTATTACTTTATGCATCCCAACTACCTCCTCATTGTTTAGCTTTCCAGGCACTGAATTAGTTGCTTGCTATATCAAATATCTTGTTACTTCCCAACAATCCTGATTATCTGTTGAATAAGTGACAGAGTAGATAGACAAGTATAAATAGGGAGAATCTCACTGTTGTGTCTTTAAATATGTTTAGAAAAGGGGAGGTTAATATAATTAAAAATGAAACATTCTGCTTTACGAAAAAGAAAAAAAATAGAATACATTTAATGATGCCAAATTGTGAAGAGGAATAAACAATGCTTTCCTAGAACTCAATACACTAAAAGGCATCCTAATGACAAAATTGGCAAAGGATATATATATATATGTAATTCACAGAAGAGATATACAAATAATTATAAGGAGGGTGAGACTGCACCAAAAATTAAACAAATGTATATTAAAACAATGAAAAATCATATTTGGTCTATTTGACAATTATTACAAGACATGGATAATAGCAAAAATGGGTAATACCCGGTGCAACTAATTCACTATTTCGGAATAAAAATATTGGATGCCTTTTCAGAAGGTAGTTGAGCAATATTCATTAATTTTAAATGTGCATATGCCCTTTTATCCAGAAATTCTACTTTTAGGTAACTATCCTAAAAAAATATATTTAAGTACTCAAAGATAAACGTATAGGGAAGATCATAAAATCGTTTTCAAAAGCAAAAATCTGGAAATAAATCTAAAAGTTTATCAGTAATGGAATGCTTATTAATGATGGGATAGTTATATTATGCAATTTTTAAAAAACTATACATTTTCATGGAAAAGCTTCAAGACAATTGAATGAAATAATTAATATGATTCAATTTATATAAATGATAAGTATACATATTACACATTTGATGTCCAGAAAAATTAATAGAAGACTATACATCAAACTATTTATTAATGATGGTTTCTATAGGGAGAAAAGTAAGTGTGTGGTGAATTATGAGAGAGGTGTGGTGTTTGAGGTGTAATGTCAAGCTTTATGCTGTACATTTTTTTCAGTCTTTACAATAAAGATAAAATTTTGGATAATTTTTTTAAAAAGAGAGAAAGTAGTCCATAAAGAGTTGAAATCCAATAAACAATGAGACATGGATCAGGTATACTGTTTGGGAACAGAGAGCTGGGTATGTATTTTCACTCAGAATGTGAACTCTGCACAGCATTCTATCATGGAAGAAGTCGATCTAAGATAAAAACGTATCAGAGAAAAATGACAAGTTAATGTATTAAGGCCCTTTCGGCTTTTCTAATAGGGAATGAAACCATTTTGTCTGCTTACCTTGTCCCATAAACCAAAAAACAGGGTTAGTTCTAGAAATCCAGATCTTCCCCTTTCTTACTGCTAGTTCCTTTAGTTCATTCTTTGCCTTTTAAACCTGGTGCAAAAACTGTTTCACGATGATCTCACTATGAGTTTCTTTGCACTGTCATATGGTGCAACCTGCCAATCCTTTTAGATGGTTACTGATACCTGTCTGTTTTTTACACCATAGTGCTTTATCCTTACCATCCTGACTTCAGCATCTTCAGCATCTTCCCTATTAAGCCTGAAACAAGAAAGATCGCTACAATTTTGCTTAACTTAATTTTTTTACCTGGAAGGGGCTACCCCCACTAAATTGGGGCCTAATCCTCTAAACAAGGAACGAGGCCCTTCTTTTTCCAAGATCACCCTGCAAGAGAAAAATATTATTTAGAAAGGAATGTCTTTCAAGGTCTGGTATTTCATTTGTACAGCAAACTTAAGAGTCTAAATCTCATATGTTTGTAATATAATGTTATGCTGCTCTAGTCAGTATTCCTTACTTTTGAAAAGTTGATTTTCTTGACATAGCATAAATTACAGAAGATTGATAACAAATTTATAGTGATAATAAAAAGAATTCCACTTAGATTATTTCCTACAAGTTTTAAAGATATAACAATGTATATTTCTACATTTATTTTCATATCGTCATGCTACTCTCATCTTCAACTGCCTCCATTTTACTGTCTTTACTAGTAAATACAATCCCCAGTTAGTGGAGCCAAATCCTATAGATCAATAGGTCTGATGGAATTCTATTCTAGTACTTCTTGGGAACTGATAAGAATTCACAAAATGTAGACATTATTTTAAAAAAGTATATATATATAATATAAAAAATAAGATGTTAGGAAAAAAAAGATGTTGGACACACACACTCATACACAAAATTCCAATGAGAAATTTAGTTTCCTCCTAGTATTTGAGGTCCTTTCCTCAAGATTGGACAAGTCTCTAAGTACTGCAGCACTATCTCATCCAATCATTCTAGTGAAATGCTATGACAAAATCTAAAAACTTTTAGGGTACTAAAATGTTTGGTCTGTTATCATTTCTCCCTGTACTCAGCTAACATCTACTGTAATGAATACTTACTAAAGACTAAGCAGAGTAAAAAGACAAAAGAGAGGGTGAAGCCTCTGCTACTGAGAAATTTGCTGTCCAGCTGTGAAAATAAGAATTATATTGAAACAAATAACATTATATTAATAAGCAAATACTATACAAGCTAGATACATATGCAGAGAAAGGAACAGATGCATGTCTAAGTCATGGAAGGCTTTCTGAGGGTGAGTTAAGTTCTGGAGGTGAGGAGAAAAAGAGATTGAGGAGAACAGGTGTTTTAATTTCGAGTTAATGGACTAGGCCACTGATTCTCAAGCATCTATTAGAACGATGTCTTGAAAGGCAAATGAGCATAATGGTTAATCAAGGGTCTGAGTTGTGGGGCCAAACTTCTCAATAATGAAGCCCAATTTTGGTAATGAACTAGCTGTGAAAACATAAAATAACTTTTCACCTGTCCTTATTTTCATCAGCAGTAAATAGAGAAAAACAGTACTCTTTTTCAGTTACTGTAAAGAATAAACATATATAAAAAGCTTTAAAAAGTACCTGGCTCACAGTAAACACTTGATAAATCTTAATATGATAATTATTACTGAAGCATTTGTTTAAATGCAGATCCCACCCTCAAAGTATTCCGATTAAATAGATATAGGAGAATGCTCAGCAATTTGCATTTTCACTATGCATCCAGATGACTGATACAGGCGATAATACAGGATCACTTCTCCCACCCCCCCACCTATAGCACCTGGTATTCCTAGGTGGTCTCCCATCCAAGTACTAACCAGGCCCGACCCTGCTTAGCTTCCTCTCGATCAGATGAGATTGGGCACGTTCAGGGTGGCATGGCTGTAGACCAGAACTACTTTTGATAAAACTAGATTAGACAGAAGCAAAGTTAAGAATGACAAAAGCACATTTTGAAGATTCAGTGTTTGTCAGCTATTTCTATGTTATAAATTCTTTTGATAAATTAAGGAAGATAAGTGTCCTTTAAAGAAAAAATACATATTTGCAAACACTCACAATTTTGCATACAATTTCAACTTAGAGACCCCTTGAAGATCATCTGAGCCACCTAAGAAACTAAGAGCCCAGGGGAGATTCCTAAAGTTCCTGGTTCTGAAGCCATGAAAAACTTCAAACCCAGTAGGATGGTTATAATCAGAAAGAAAGACAGTAAAACAAGGGCTGGTGAAGATGTGCAGAAATTTATAGCCATTTTGGTCAACAGCTTGGCAGTTCCTCAAAATGTTAAACATAAATTTACCATATGACTCAGCAATTTCATTCCCAGTACATCCCCAAGAGAAATGAGAACATATATCCCTATAGTGGCATTATTCATAATAGACAAAAAGTGGAAACCCAAATATCCATCAGCTGCTGAGTAGATAAAATGAAATACTTGACAATAAAGATACTTGTTACAACATGGATGAACCCTGAAAATATGTAAAGTGAAAGAAATCAGTCACACAAAAAACTACATATTATATAATTGCATTTGTATAAAATGTCCAGACTAGGCAAACCTATAGTAACGAAAAATACATTAGTAGTTGCCTAGGGCTAAGGGGGAGGGTTAGAGGAAAGGGAGAAAATGAGGCGTGATTGCTAACAGGTAAGGGTTTCTTTTTGTGGTGATACTGAAAATGTTCTAAATTTAGAATGTGGTGATGGTTACAACTCTGTGAATATATTAAATTGTACACTTTAAAAGGGTGAATATTACGGTATGTGAATTATATCTCAATAAGGAAGTTGGAAAGCAAAAAAAAAGAGAAAGGGAGCAGCAGTAGCCTGAAGCAGACTGATCAGGACAGAGTTCCTGCGAGGGAAATAATGGAAATGAGTGAAAACTTGCTCGAGCAAGAGAATGCAGAGTGGGAAGTCATCTGTATACTGATGGGAGGTGAAACACGTTAGATTGACTCATGTAAGAGGGCCAGCACAACCGAAAAATTAAAGCTGAACTCAGAGGGTCCTACAGTTCCTCTGAGGAAAGTCAGAGAAGGCAAAGCTATTAAAAATGAAATAAAAAATATAGTATTGTTATAAAAGACAAAGGAAGAACTTTAAGGAGAGGTAATCAGTGGTAATAAATGTCAAATCGTGATATTAAAATACTCTATTAATAATCAGGTAGATTTATATATAACTATTTTAATCCAAAATTGTTAAAATTTTATTCTACCTATTCATGTACTTAGGTTAAGTTTCAAAAAGCAAAGGCTGATGAAATCTTTTGGTAGAGAAGGTAAACACACAGTATGAGTTTATTTGCTACTACAAAATAAACACTTGTGAACTAAGTTCAAACAGATTATGTTCCAAATGAGCTGATAAGGCAGACACACAAGGCATTCAGTTACATACCTAAGTTTAAACATGTAAAACCTAATTTTAATAGTTTTTAAATTTCAAATCCAATTTGTAACATAAAAAAGTATGGTAAAATATAAAAACAAATCTTTTTCAAACCATCAAGAAATGTCAAACAAACACTGAATTGTTTTAAAATCAGTAGAACTCTGCTTTAAAGATCAGTTATGTTTATGTTATATAAAAATCACACACTGCTATTAACTGGATGTACTTATTTGTGTGAATACTTGGAAAATGAAAAACACACACATAGTTAACATTTAACACAAGAATCTATGACTAATTCAAAAGAAAATATAGATAATAGCTTTAGAAAATAAATCCATTGGGTAAATGTAAAAAATATTCCAAATACATGATTTGGAAATATTACATTTTATCTAACTAACAGTTCCTCTCCATTAGAATTATGGTTTCTAAGGAATACAATTCATAGTAACTGTCATTAAGTTTATAAAAAAAAACTTTAAAAAAATGGCAGAATATAAATAAATATATGGGCATCATTACGGTAAACGAACTAAAAAAAAATTCATAAACTGTGCTCTCACTTTAGGCAATGGAGAGGTCCAGGAGACACTACTCGGTTGACACTGGCTCCAGCCATGGTGTTCAGCTGAACTTCAGAGATATAAAGTGTCAGAGAAGATGACTGCAGTCGTGTTTTTACAACTTCCAGTGGACATGTCAGAATAGCTCCCACTGTACCACCACATCTACAAAAAAATGAACAAAACTTATCTATTTAATTCATCAGTTAGTACACATACGCAAGCTGTAAAACAGGCGGGCAACTGGGCTTTGCCAAGGTACTAAAATCTAACATTTTTTATTTCAGAAGACTAAATAATTTTCTAAATGTTTCATTTATTTGACTGTATATAAACACCTTTGGCAGCTAGAAAGAACAGAGCTTAATTCTCACAAAAATTTGCCAAAGAAGATAAAAAAATTTCAAGAAATTTTCTATCTTGTACCCTTTCTTACACAGCTACTAAAGGATGTGTTCCGCAAGTTAAGAGTAAACTAAAAAAGAGGGACTATATCAAATCATTACGTTGTACACCTAAAACTAATACAATGTCATATGTCAATGATATCTCAACAAAATGGTGTAAAAAGAGGGAATTGAATGCAGAAACAGAGTAATAATCAAGGAAAGGGAGGAGGAGTCCCAAGATGATAGTGAAATGTCAGGCTCAGAAAATAACTAGTCCAGACAGCCATAGGATAACAGAGTTCAAAGAGATAAAGAACTCCAGGAAAAAAAGACTGATAAGATGCATATATTTGACCACATGAAAATAAATATTCAAGTATAAGTACTCACATAACTAAGCAAATATTTTAGAATATGGGGCAATTATTAACTCCAGGGGGAGAAAATGAAGTTATTCAAGAAAGAAAAGGTCAACATATAACTTAGTTGTTTTATCAACTATTTTTATATTGCCATAGTAAGTTAAGCATTAACTACTGATTTAACAAAAAATTGTGATGTAACTAATTACTGAGAGGATGAAAAGAATGGGGAAACAGGGAGCATTATAACTAAATCCTCTTCTACCAGAAAAGAAAGTATGAAGAAAACTCCAAAGGAAACAGCTGAGACTTAATAGGAGTTCCTACTAGGAAGAAGATGTAGGGGAGAACCAGGAAATGTTTTTTTAATCTTTCAGCAGCTTTTTTTTTTTTTTTTTGGTACCTTTTGCATACATTTTTTATTTTTAATTAATTTCTCAAAATTTAGCAGTTATTTTTAACTTTTAAAAACAGCAGGGGTTTTTAACTGGAGAATGTGCTTAATGTTTCTGGGACCCACTGGACCCTATAAAGAATGTGCATAGTGTGCAAATGTGTCTTTGACTCAGAACTTTAAAATAAATTCAGAATCTTGACCACTTCTCACCACTTCCACGCTGGTTTAAGCCACTATGTCTTTTTTATTATTAAATTTATTGAGGTAACATTGGTTAATAACATTATACAATTTTCAGGTATGTAAGATAATTCAAATCTGTACACTCTATTGTTTGTAAATCACTGTATAATGAGATCACTGCATTAACCTTCTAATAAGTGTCTGTCTCCCTGATTCTATCCCTTGCCCCACCCCCTCCAATCTATCTTCAAAACAGTAGTCAGAGTGGTTTGAGGTATTTTTATGGGCTGGTCACTTTAGTGTAAGGTTAAAGAATTGTGCTATTTAATAGCCGGGAGGCCGAGAACAATGCATTTTCAGTTTCACAATTAAATGAATGTGAGGACAACCAAATATATTAAATATATACTACTATCTCATTTATGAATCTATAAGATGTGGCAGCACAATTATTTTCTTAAGCCAAGCAAGTCATAAAACAATCAATGGAAAACATTAGAAATTATTTTTTAAAAATTCTATATAAAAATCTTAATATTTAAAATTTTGATCTTGCTCCACTCCCCCTTGCAAAGGAAGTTCCTTAGCAATAAATACTGATTTAAATATTTATTATTTATAATAAGCAAATTCAGCACAAATGTTAATTTGCATAGCCAATATAACAGTTTAAAAATTGAGCGTGAGAGAATGTACTGAGGCTGTGAAGAATGCATGATCAAAGAAAGGGAAGAATCTGGAATCCAGAAGGTCTTGTGGAAGATCCTACCATTTACAACAAAGATGTTATGCTAAGTGAAATAAGCCAGACACAGAAAGAAAAAAATTTCATGATCTCACCTTTATGGGAAATCTTAAAAAGCTGAATACGTAGAAGCAGAGAGGAGAAGGGTGGTTGCCATGAGTGAGGAGGCGGCAGAAGTGGGGAGGTGCTGGCCAAAGGGTACAACACTACAGTTATGTAAGATGAATAAATCTAAAGTTCTAATGTATAGCATAATGACTATAACTAATAATATTGTACTGAATGCTAGAAATTTATAAAAGTAGATTTTAGGTTCTCCCATCACAAAAAAATGGTAACTATGTGAGATGATATGCAATATAGTAATCATTATATGTATCATGATGTATACCTTAAAAACATACAATATTTTAAAGGCCAAGGAAGAAGCTCCTATAATTATCTGGGTATGAGGTATTGAAGGCTAACAATCATCAGTTGGACCAAAAAAAGGGATAGAGGCTTTCTGATATTCAACTGTCAAGTCTCACTGTTTCTACATTCTAAACTTCCTTTCATACTTCCCCTCACGATCCCCACTACAAATGCTTTAAAGCAGGACCTCATTTTATTTCTTGCCTCCTAACTGGTCTTAGGTCCCTCTGATCCAGTGATACAGTCAATGAGTTAAGATCAGTTGCAAGGTGTCACTAATAATAAAGACTAAGTTGGATGCTTTATTATTAAAATAAAATGTTATAATTAGAAGTTGCTTGCTCCTTTGCTTTAAATGCTTTGATTAGCAAAGAATTCCAAGGAGAGAACAGCCAAGTTTGATAGCAGAAGAACAAAGAAGTTCATTATCCTGTAATATCAAAAATCTAGAAGGAACAGTTTCTAGGGTTAAAAATTTAATAAAACTGTTAAATGCCATCGAACCCTTGGTATATTCAGGTTTGAGCACCTGAACTATATATTCTTGAGTGAAATTACTTGGATCGATGCTCATTTTAAAGTTTTATACGCAAATGTCACATATTTTGAAGATATAAGACCAAGGTTGTTTGGTGGGTCAGGTAATCATACAACTATGCACTGATTTAAATAATATTTAAATAACAAAATTTAAATAATATTTAAGAATTGTCTAAAAATGTTGGCATGCCAAGGGTTCTAACTACTTAAGGGCCTATGGATTCCTTGAGTAAAGAAGTGGCTAAAAGCTACTCAGAATGAAGGATTTGTTTTTTTTGTTTTGAAACTATGCAAAATGAAACCAAGAGTCTGGTTAAAACAAAACAAAACAAAATTCGTGCAAATAGGTCTTATATGGAAGAGAAGGCCTCTGGGGACCCCAAGGTGCTCTCCCCAACCCATGTTATAGCAACATAGGAATGAATCAGAAGTTTGGAGGGGTGGGGTGATGAAGAGGATAAGAAAGGAGAAATTGATCACAAAGTAAGTATGACTAGCAAGTAGATCACTTTCAGCCATATTGCCAAGAGTCATCAATCCCTAGGTCAGGTGCACAAACGCAAAACCCTATCAGCAGGATAGCCTCAAGCTTTGGAACAGTTTCCTTGGCTTGAAAGGACTTCTGCTCACTACACCAGCAAAGAACTCAAGGCACCCCAAGATTCTGCTAAGGAAAGGGTGGGTCATGGAAAAGAACTACGATTCCAAGACATATACCCTTGATTTTAACCTTCCAAGCTTGCATGGAGCAAGACACTTATTTTTAACAGGCAAGGGAATTTATAAATGGACAAAATCTATTCTGATTGGGTACACAACACCAGTGTGTGTATATGTGCATGTACACATACATGTATATATATACACACTAGGTACTTTAGTCACATATTTTTGTTAACTTTAAGCAAACCTATTTTGTTAGACAACTGCAAAGCACATAGGTTGAACTATTTTCTCATTTTTCTGCTTGCAGGTAATTTCCTAATTAGGATGTTAGTCAAATTAAGAAATGCCACTAGGAAGAGATTATAATGTTAGCCAAGGAGTTTTTCAATCTCAAAACTTGTAGCCTGTCTCTAAAATTCTATAAAAACCAGTTAAGAAGTCTTACCAAAATTCTCTGATAGTATATCTATAGAGGTATTTTCTCTTAAGCTTTAATGTTTGGGCAAGAAACAACTCAAGTTCTCGAAATAGTGCATGAAAGACATACTCTATATACTTGACAGATGAACTTAAGAGAAGTCAGATAAAGAGTGGTTGAAAGTAATTTTGGAGGATACAGGTAGTGTTTCTGATGCAGGGGAAAAATAACAAGCTAGGCGTTTTGAATGGTAAGGCAAAATCAAAAACACCAACAATATTGAAAAAAAGAAAATGTAACCAACAACTAGATAAACAAGGAAACACAGAAGGAAGCCATATCATACAGTCCAAGATGTAGTTATACAGTCTTCACTTTCAGGAAAAATAAGATGTCAGATTGAGGACCAAAATTCACTATAGAAACAAGATATGCTCAGGGGATGTGGTAGTTTTAGTAAAGGTAAAATTCCTCCACAAACTACTACTTTGTTTCTTTGCTCCCCATACAGCAAATCTCAAATTTATGTCATCTCTAATTTCTCTCCCACTCCAATAAGACCTTTACACCCTGCTTTGCTTTGAAAAAGTTAATGAAGGTCATCAAAGGTCTGATTGTTAAATTCAATGTTTAACAGCTCTCGGACATCATCTTAAGTAACAGTAACATGACAGCTGATCACCCACTCTTTTCTAAATACTGTATATTCACTTCATTTCACTTTCAGAATACATTTTCTTGGTCACTCTTTCTAAGTCTACTTTGCTGGTTCTTTCTTTCCCCTTGATCTCTTTTGCTGAAATCTCTACTCTTTCTAAATCTACTTTTCCTGGTTCTTCCTTTTCTTTTGATCTCTTTTGCTGGGAGTCTCCAAGGTCAATCTTTGGTCTTTTCTTCTCTATATTCACTCCCTTAGTGATCTCATCTAGGATCCCAGCACCATCTATGTTCTAATAACTACTAAAGGTTTATCTCTAGTCCAGACTGCTTCCTCTCCTGTACTCCAGACTAATATTCAACCAACTATAAACAACTGGCTTCTTGACCTCTTCGCAAACATCCCATGTTTAAAACGTAACTACTGAACTTTCCCTGCCCCGACCCTGTTCTATGCAACCATTCTCCACCTCAGTTAACAGCAACTCTAGCCTTTCAGATGCCCCAACTAAAAACCGTGGAGTTATTTTTGACTCTTCTTTCCTTTACACTCTACATCCATCACAACCTACTATGAACAAGCATTATCTTTCATTTTGATTACTGCTATAGCCAAATCATGCCCTTACTTCTGTCCTTGCCCTACGTATAGTCTATTCTAAACATGGTGACGGATGACGGAAGGAAGCCTTGTAAACTCCTACAATGACTTCTCCCATTTCAGAAAAAGCCGAAGTATTTTAATGTCCTAAGAAGGCTTTGCTATTCTGCCTGTACTTGCCTCATTACTGTGCTCCTACCCTAGGATCTTTTCATTGCCTGTTCTTTCTGAAGTTAACTCTCCAACCAGGTCTTTGCTCAAGTCACCTTTGTAATTGACTCGTATCATCCCCCTATTTAGAATTACACTGCACTCTCACTATTCTTCTTTATTCTGATTTTTCCTTTCTTCCATAGCGCTGAATATCTTCTAATTAATGGTATAATTCAACTCCTTTTGTGGGAATATTCAATATTACATTAAAACTGACAAGTGGTCGGTACTTAAAGTTTAGTTGCAATATGGAATCTGAACTATACCAATAAACTTTCCACGCTGTTACATTAAAATCCATTGGTCTGCCTTACATTCTGAACCCTTTACTCTATATCATGCACTGGTCATTTAGTTTACTGGGTTATACAGATCTTCTCACTGTTGATACATTTTATTATATATCACAAAAAAATTATACTTCCGGTCATTCAAAGATTTCAACAATTCTAATTTTTGCTTGAAAACTCAAATTTTATCATATGGCAAAAATGTTATCAGTGGTTTTCCTTGAAGCAACATTTCCTTCATTTTTTAAGAAAATGTCTGCCAAATAGTCAAGTCTGAATAGTCAGTCCATCGATTATTGTTTCAAGAAAGAAAGGTTCTCATGAAAAAAGGCTAATTCAGTTTGAGACTGAAACAACTACAGAACTACTTTGGTATGCAAAAGTACTTTATCCATATTTCTCATTTTGTCACACAGAATATGAAATAAAGATGAGTACTAACAGGTCAAGATTTAGTCAAATTAATAATTTTACTACTTTAAGAGCATTTGTAAGTGAAACTGGTTTTTTAAATTCCAAGTGCCAATGACTACTAGTACAATCTGGTTACACTGCCCTGATTGATACACGCTAGATAGATAGCTAAGGCATCAACGGTTTTACTCACAGTTGCTTTTGCACCATCAGTACAAATGTCAAAGCAGTGAGAAAGCAAATAATGTCCTTAGTATTTTTATGAAAACAGCTCTAACCTCTTAGACCACCAAAAGGGTCTTGGGAACTCCCAGAGGTCCATGACCCACACGACTCTACTACGCTAATATACTTACAGGATAATAGTTTCAGAATATTCTACGTTGAGATAAGCAAACTTCTCTTAGCCTTGTAATCTATTGGTAAGAATGAAAAAAATGCTCTTTTACAAGAGTAAAAAAGGAAAATAAAAGGTGGTAAAAAACTATTGAAATAAGGCTAATAAAAATATAGACAGAAGTGAAAATAAACATTAATTGTACTTTTAAGTATTCTACTTCTGCCCTGATTTTACAACGAAGTAATTTAACAAATGTCATTATTAATTTAACAAATATCTTTATAACAAAATTTCTGCCGGATCCGAGTGTAGGAGTTTTGCATTAAATTAATGAATGAATGCATAGATTAATTAATTCCATGATAACAGAACAAACAGTTTTTTAGATCAACAGTCTCCAACCTTTTTGGCTCCAGGGGCTGGTGTTCCTATGAGAATCTATCTAATGCCTAAGGATCTGAGATGGAGCTGAGGTGGTGATGCTAGCACTGGGCAGTGTCTGCAAATACAGACTAAGCTTCGCTAACTCCCTGCCGCTCACCTCTCGCTGTGCGGCCCGGTACCTAACAGTCCAAGGCCTAGGGGGTGGGGACCCCTGTTTAAATAATCTGATATTACTCACTACAGGTGTTAAGTTCTCAGTGAGTTACACAGGAAAAAAACTCATCTACTTAAGTATCGGCAATGTGGAAAACAAACTTTACTTAAACTAGGTCTCACCGATTAAAAAAAAATTTTTTGTCAGAACTGTCGTTGGCTCATAATTGGTGTGCAATGTTAAATCAATGTGCCAACCCAACGAAAATAATGCTATCACTGGCAACAGAGTCCATATGTCCAACTCAAATCAAGACACTGACTAGAACTGCATATATATTACTTAATACTCTTAAAAATGTCGATTTAAAAACACACACTATGGCCAAAAGAGATACAACTTTATATGGTCATATAAGCAGCAAAGAGCCTCAGCATAATTCATCGTTGCCATTTTTGAGAAGACACTTCGTGATCCTACAGATAAAAACTCCTAAACTTAAAAATTGCTGATTCTCCAAATAATTTTTAAGGAACAATCCTGAAAAAGAGACTAAACTGGCTCAACAAAGTATCTGTAGCATTTAGCCTGGCAACCTAAGACTTTAGGCTTGGTCCTATCCTTGTACATACATTGACTACAGCCAAAGCATTTGACCTCTCCCTACCCCACTTTCTCCTTTAAGCAAAGGAAAAGCAGGGGTTGCGGCAGAGGGTTCATTTTCATGAAAAGAATCTGACCTCAATGGCATTGCCACTTTGCACCGCATCTCGCAACCTAGAAAAGCTTGGGAAAGAAATTTTCCAACAGCTAGAAACCTACAGCTGCTGCAGGAGGGAGAAAACCTAAGCCTACCTGGTGCCGGAAGCCCCCCGAGGAACCTACTAGGCAGAGCAAGGCCCGGAAATCAGCTGCCCGAGTCCGCGGTGGGGCCCAAGCGACGTGAGGAGGCCCCGTAGCCCGCACGGCGAGAAGGAAAGGAGGCGGCCCTGGCGCCCATTTTGTCCTCGGCCTCCGCACTTCCCGCCCCGTCGCACCCTGGGCCAAGCAACCTACGAGAGGCTGCGGCCATACTCCTTCCCGCGGGCCCGCATCTCGGGTACCCGCTAGGCCGCGTTGGGCCCAGGGGCCCGCGTTAACTCCAGCCTCGCAAATCTGGCCACGGCCTCGCTCCGTCTCCGCAGGCCCAAAGCCTTACGTTTCTCCCCGCCTGGGCCTCAGCCCCCTCACCTCCTCCATCCTCGAGGGCCCAACACCCCCCCGCCCCCCGCGCCTGGACCTCACCCCTAACTCCGCGGGCCCGAGATCCCCCGACTCCTCCCCGCCTGGGCCGCACCCCTTCGCCCCTCTCCCCCGCGTCCCAGTCCACGGCTTTCGGCCTCAGTCCAGCCCCCTCAGCCCCAGTCCGCACGCCCCGCCTGGACCGTACCCCCCAGCAAACAGATGCACCAGCGTGTCCCTCTGGCTCATTCTCTCTCCCGCATGTCCTCCGGGAGCTGAGGCTGGACGCAGATCCGACCGCCCGTGACAGCCGGCGGCTTCGGTCCTGGACTGAAGCCCCACAGCGCCCCGGGGATGTCGAGGGGAGCTGGCGGAGACGCGGCTGCACGAGGTACCCGGCTGTGCCCTCCCGGCGGCGTGCAGCCGCGCCGCCTCCCGCTCCAGCTCAGCGCACACGGCCAAAGCCCGAGAGCAGGGCGAGCGCGGTGGGCGGGTGGGTGCGGGGGCGTGAATATTTGGATGCCCTACCCCCGCCACATAAACAGAAGCGCCCATTGGTCCGCGCCGCGTGACGTCACGGGGCCGACATGCCTCTTTCACGTGATCGCTAAGGGGTTTCTTAATGAAAGGGGCCGCGAGGCGGGGCCGGAGCGCGTGCGGGCAGGCTAGTGGGTCACTGTACCTTCGCAGCTAATTCGTGGGCCCGCCCGGGCCCCAGGCTCCTTCCCCAACTAGGTGAGAAACCGTCTGGGTTCCCGGTAGGCAGCAGAATGAGGGCGGGAGCATGCTAAGTTTCTTAATTACCTAAAAAAAAAGAATTCTTTTAGAGCAAATTTTAGGTTTGCAACATGATTGAGAGGAAGGTACAGAGATTTCCCATTTACCCCCTGCTTGATTCACTTTCTAAAAATTGTGTTTATGACCACATTTCTTCTTGGTATCTACCTCACAGCAATAGTCAAACAACGCATGAAAGGACTCACACAAGGATACTTGTATTTGAATCACAAACTACAGTGTTTACAAACAATGCTTCTAGTAGTGAGAAATTGGCATCTTTAGGGGAATGGAGAAATCATCAAACATTGCTAATGCGGAATATTTAGCAATTATAACAAGGGGTGAAGTAGATATGTAGGAGAAAAAAATCTCTAAGGCCTAGTAACTAAAACATGCAAATAAAATTAAAACACTAAGGTTTATTTTAGAAAGAATGGAGAAAATGAGCATTTACTCTTTCTAACTATCAAATGTTTCTTATATGTATGTATAAGAAGATCAAGGACTAAGGGACAAAATGTTTTCTTTCTCCAGAACATGGTGATTAAATATTAAAAAACTTAGTTAATTAGTAATTATTCCTAAGGTGTAAAAAAGTAGAGAATAACATAACACGTAATCTGTACTCATCACCCACACTAAATGAATGTTAACCGTTTCCACCTCTTTCTACCTAACTTCCATACTACCTGCAAGGCCCTCACCACCCTTTACCATACATGTGCTATTATCCAGGGCCCACCTTTCTTTCCTTACTGGGCTTCTTCCTTCATAAAGTCCTCCCTGACTGCCTCAGCTTTTCTATGTTCTTTACCTCTCCTAAAGTGCTACAGAAGGTACGGACTGCACACCACTGGCAAGTGTTCACCCACTCTGCAGTAAATACTCATCAGTAAAATGGAGTATTCACAAGGTAGTTGTAAGGACTAAATGTGTTAAAATATGTAAAGCACCTAGGGCGGTGCTATATAAGGCTTACTTATAACAATTAGTAGTATTTTAATGCCTCGTATTCTTAATAACAAAAATGGTAGTTGATATTTCTTGAGCACTTATTAACGTGCCAGGCTCTAAACTGAGCACTTCACAGCATTCTCTTATTAAACTCTCGCAACTACTCTATGAGATAAGTGATATTATCCCCCTAATTTTTCATGAGACTGAGGTGTAAAATAATTAAGTTCACTTGCCCCAAATTATCCAGTTCATCCAGAAAAAGGTTGAATTTGAATCTAGCAGAGTCTGTCTGATTCCAGAGCTTCAGTTCCGTGAAGTAATAGCTGTTCACTAGAGAGGGGAAATTTTGAAAAAAAACAAAAAAATTAAAAATTGGTACCTGGCTATACTTCCTTCAAACCATTGCATTAACATTTGGTGGGTATTTATTTCTTTTTAACAGCAGCTTTATTGAGATATCATTCACATGCATAAAATTCACCTATTTAAAGTCTACAATTTAGTGGGTTTTAGTATATTCTCATGGTTGTACAACCATCACCATAACCTAATTCCAGAACATTTTTCTCACCGAAAAAGAAATCCTACACTCCTTAGCAGTACTCCCATTTTCCTTTCCTCTATCCCCTGGCAGCCACTAATCTCTACCTTCTGTCTTTTTGGATTTGTGTAATCTGGACTTTTCATATAAACAGAATCATACAGTATGTGGCCTTTGTGTCTGGCTTCTTTTACTAACCATAATGTTTTCAAAGTTCATTCATGCAGCATGTACCAGTACTTCATTCCCTTTTATGACTGAATAATTTTCCCCTGTATAGATATACTACATTTTGTTTATCCATTCTCAATTGATAGCTGTTTGAATTGTTTCCACTTTTGGGCTACCATGAATAATGATGTCATGAATATTTGTGTACAAGTTTTAGCACGGACATGCTTTTCAATTCTCTTGGGAGTATACCTGGAGTGGAATTGTTGGGTCAGATGATAACTCTATGCTTAACCCTTGAGTAACCACTCTACTGTTTTCCAAAGTGATTGAACCATTTTAGTTGTATTGCTTTTAAGACAATAGCTGTAGATCCATGTTTTTGACATAGTGAATGCCATATTAATTACATATAATGAAGCTTCTGAAACTGATAAGGAGGGAGCCAGAATTCTCATGTACGGTAACGGTTATTCCTGTAATGAGCAGTAACAGTTCATAATGTAACTGTTTCCTTTTGAACCGCCTTCTGATGCCATCGTGGAAGTAGACTTTGCTCCCTGCATATACTGGCTGGTAAATCATGGGGACTGCCCACTTGGATGTGGTTGCTGAGGTCATTATTCTTACTGTGATTCCAGGGTTGAGTTGTGCTTGCTGAGGTTCCCACTGCACTGTCATCCTGCTGCTCCTTTATAACCTTCCTTCCTCATTCCTGTTGACTAGAGCACATCTTCAAGTGATTCTTTTAAGACTGGCACAAAGTTTTCTTGAGCCCTTGCCCCTTATACAAACAAGCTTCCAGGTGTTTTTCCAGAGTGACGTCAGGGCAGGGTGGGTGGATCTAAGTCCAAGCTTTGGTATCAGGCACAGCTTCACTTCCTCCAGCCCCGCCATTCCTGCCAAGGGGTCTTCTGGGAGTTGTAGTTTTTATTGACTCTAGAAAGAAACATGGGGAAGGGATGCCCACAGCTCTATGCTTGCCTCAAAACAAACAAATAAGCTCCTTGTAAAGTAGAGGAGACCGCTACTCTATTTCCTGATTATACTGGCCTCGAATTTTAATTGCTAATGTGCTGAACAAAAGTTGTTAATAGCTGTTTGTGGGAGAGTGGAGCATAGATGGACCACTGACGTCATTTTTCTCCCCACCTAGCCTCTATTGGTTTTGTAGATACAGAAAATTTGTGTGGGTTTTAAGCCTTGGATTGGCAACATTAATTTTAAGTGTTTGAGTAAAATTTTTTCTTTTTAATTTTTGTTTCTTCTTAGGTATTTTAATGGGAGAATGAGAGAGATTATTTTATAGTCTCTTAGCCAAGTGCCATTATATTTACTTTTTCCCTTACTTTGCTTTTAATAAAAAGTAGTAAATTCAAACAATACAGAGGTGCACAAGGTGGGAGTTAAAACAACTTCCCTTCCCAAATCCCACCCCTCAGCAGTCATCATTGATAAGAGTCAGGTAAGTGTCCTTCTGTGTACTCTTATGCCATGATTGCAGTCATCTCAAAGAGCCTCAGATTTATACAGCTCTCACCATGTGACAGACGTTGTTGCAAGCTCTTCATGTGAATTTAAATGCATCCACTCTAGAACCTAATGAGGAATATTTTACAGGAAACAGATACAGAGAGGTTAGAGGATTTATTAAGGTGACTTACCTAGCAAATAGCCGAGCTGAAATGGAAACCTAGGGAGTCTGGCTCCAGAGTCTGTACTCTCATCCTCTATTCTACGCCATCTCAATTGTCTTTTGGTTAACTGAGAATATTAGCCATAGTTCCAACCCCAAAAGGGGGTGGGGATTTTGGAAGAATTTAAGATGTGCCCAGAGGACAAAATGTGTACTTACACGTGAGCCCCAGAAGGAGTCATGAGGTCAGTTGCTCCTGAATGCAGGTTTGATGTTTTATTGAGCCACCACTCCCATCAGCTACGCTGTGTAACATTTTTAGTCAATAATGGTTGAAGTTTCTTCCGATACACAGGTGATAAGTAGAGCTACCACTGAAAATAGATAAGGAGCTTGTAGAAATGGATATTTCCCCAGAACGAATTAACAGTTTCCTTGTAGGCAATACTATCTCACAGGGACCAATTCAGGAGGCTTGGAAAAAAACCAACAAAGGACTGGTTTTTTTTTTTTTTTTTTAATCTTGGTTTTTTTTTTTTTTTTTACCTTACAAGACAGGAATAATAGAAGGGTGGGGAGACCTTGCAAAGAAATGCATGACTTGTTGACATAAGGGTATAACATACATTTTGAATTTTATCTGGATAATGCCTGAAACGTCAACAGTTTGTGGTAATACAGTAGTACCCTGCCTCCCATTTAAGAAACTAACCAAAGGCCCTACCCAAGAGCCTTGCTTTGAAACTCAACTTGTATCTTGGCATTTGGATCTTGCTCTTAATGCTAATTCTGTTATTACAAAGTAATTAATGCAGATAAACCACCCAATTCAAAATATGGGCAAAATACTCAAATAGATATTTTTCCAAAGATTTACAAATGGCCAATAAGCACTTGAAAAGTGCTAATCATTAGGGAAATGAATATCAAAATCACAATGAAGTCTATGGCCATGCTACCCTGAATGAGCCCAATCCCGGCTGATCTCGGAAGCTAAGCAGGGTCGGGCCTGGTTATTACTTGGATGGGAGACCACCTAGGAAGATCAGGTGCTGTAGGTGTAAAAAATAAAAAAATAATGGATTGTAAGCTGAAGCTGACAAGGTCCTTGCAATCTGTGAGGTCAACCAAGGGTTGCCTCGCCTAAAAAAAAAAAAAAAAAAAAAAAGGACAACCAGGCCTTCACACCCATTGGGATGACTATTATAAAAATAAAACAAAAGCAGAAAATACCTGGTGTTGCCAAGATTTGGAGAAATTGAAACCTTGTGCATGGCTGGTGGGAATGTAAAATGGTGCAGCTGCTGTAAAAAACTGGATGGCAGGTTCTCAAAAACTTAAACATAGAATTACCATATGATCCAGCAATTTTACCTCTAGGTATATACCCAAAAGAATCGAAAGCA